CTATAAGTCCCAGATCTAATGTGTTGTTACTGGAGGTGAATTACTTTTTCCTTGTAAGAAAGCATGAAGGTATTGAGAAGAACCAGTAAGAAAAGCATTTGAAAACGCAACAGGAAGCAGTAGCATACATGAGCACTCAGGGTTGCAGCCTCTGACCAGTGGGGTGGCCAGGGAAGAAACATGTCCTTAATGCCCCAGTTGTGGCCACAGTTGGAAATGAATGAAGGTGTGAGTGACAGCACAGTGTTGTTTCTCCATCAGTGGGAAGATATTCTGGGGACATACCTGTAGAAGCTCCTTCAGGGGACATCCTTCAGCTCAGCTCTCAGCTGTATGTAGGCATACAGTGATTGCTGGAGGCATCTCTACTGCCTTAGTGTTCAACCACTGAGGCAATCTACAGTGGTGTCAATATGATCAACAATAGTCAGCCTGTCTGCTTCAAAAAACTTCACACACACCAGAATTTTGCTCGGGTACATTCCACTGTGCAACCTGAGCCCAGGCTGCTGAGAAAGAGCTGTGAGAAATCTTTGAGACGCTGGAGAGAGGTCAGTCGAGGGGTATTGAGACAGGGATTCTGAGTTGCCCAAGGATTCATGAGAGAAAATGGAGGAGTACGAGGGGAGAAGCAGTGAGGCTGCTCAGATCAGTGTCACAGCCTGGGTGAGTCAGGACATAGCTCCAGCCATTGGATGGACAGCATAACTGCAAGATGGCAGTTCAGCAACATGTGGATCTGGCCCATCCCCTGTCAGTGCCCACAAGACCAGCAAAGGCTCTGCGTGTGCCACATGGAGAAGATGAGTTCACCCTGACAGCTTGTTAAATCCTACCTGTCTTTCATGTGTGTTAGCCCAGAAGTAATTGCTTTGCATTTCTAAGTTGCATTCCTCACTCTTGCAGAGTCCCTGTGTAGCTAAAAACGTCCAAAGAAGCTGATTCAATGGGGCCACCAAAACCAAGCGTTGTTTTCCAAGTGGTCAGCAGTCCCACTCTTACACCCCCGCTCTTCCATATGACTTTACTCTGTCCTAATGCCGGGGATTAACTTTTTTTATTCTTGCTCAGGAGCTGTACTTATCCAAACTGTGATTTCACATACCCAGACATAGAAAGCAGAAGCATTCAGCAAGGATTTAATCTCCACTTGATGATTGTGGTGCATCATTATCACACATATTCAGTTTCTTTGTCTCTCTGTAAATTTATTTACTTATTGTGTCTGTTATTAATGCACAATGGATATGCATTAGTGAAGGAACCAAAGTAGAATTAAATTGGTTTTCTATCTACATTTGCTTTATAAATCAATAAATCTGTGACAGTAATGTGTTTAAAGCACACATAATTGCTGGATATTTCTTTGCATGGACAGATATCCAAATATTTGCTTGCTATCCTCAGAATACTTATATTTTCTAAGCAATATATTACTTTTAAAAAAAAATTTTCAATTTACATAGAAGCTTAACTTCGCCTCTTCACTCACTTCTATTACCTTTGTTATTCTTCACAGACCCATACTCAGATCCATATATTTCCTTTATAGGTTTTAAATTTTCCTGCAGCCCCTTGTTACTGGCTCCCTAGCCAATTTATTTTACTCAGCAACATGATCTATTCAAGTGAAAATGGGAAGTTTATGCAATAGTCTCTCTAGACTTCTCTGAATATATTACTGTCTGGCCGTTCTGGCCGCAGCATGCCTTATCTCAGGAACTATGCAGCCTCACAACTCTTGTACTGGGACCACTGGAAACACACCGTTCTGTGAATAGGTGAGATGAGGAACTAAAGATCCTGCAAACGCAAGAGCACTGAAGGATTTCATGTATAGGTCATGAAGCTGAAAGTTAGGGATACAAAGGAAAAAAATGTGATTGGAGGAATGCTTCTTGGAGAAACCTGTCCAGCACTGGAAAATTCCCTGGACTTGTAAGACTAAGCAGATTACTTTTAAATTCATTCTTCATCATCCCATGATGGAATGCACCACTTAGAAAACTGCTTCTATTTTTTCCTGTTTTCTCTGATTTATTCAGGACTGATGTGGCCCCTCAGCAAGGCTACAGATACATTGCTGGAGTGAACCCATTTTTAGATCCTCACAAGCCTTCTTCCAGTCTTATACTGAGCACAGCTTATTCAGAACAGAAAAGTCATATCTATCTAGTATAGACACTGATCTACAGTTGAGTCCACTGAAAGAGAGCTTCCAAGCAGTTCTTGAGCATGGTTTAGATTTAATCTCATATATCCATGCTGAGACACCTTTATCAGTTCTACTGTCACATCCCATACCATCACTGTGTTGCTACCATAGCAAAGTTCAGACTCTGAAAGGACTTTATGATGCAGTAGGCTGCAACAGAGAGAACGAGGCTCATCAACTCTGACAGTCTACTCCAGTCTTTTATTCCTGTCCCACTGTATGTCCATCAATCTGTTTTTCAGCTCTACGTGGCCATTTTTTTCCGTGACAAATGTTCTTACTTCCTGCCCTTGCTTGATTAATCTTTTCACCAGCTGTATTTGTGTTTGCAGAGTATGTGTTGCTATGCATTCATCTTTCCACCTCCACACCTCCGAGCTTTGGCAACTCTCACTTACATTCTTCAAACAAAAATGCTATTAACTCTTTGCATCCAAAATAAGAAATGTCAGTGTTGTGGAATATGACTAGACAAGGATTTTGCTATAAAGCCTGTGCACCACAGGTGGGAAATGAGACAGCATCACATGGGAAGGCTTAAAAGAATGCCAACATTTGGACTGACAGAATCATGGCTTGCTCTCTGTTCCTCGCTTTGTGGAACTGTAATTATTAGCAACAAATTAATATACATGCCCAACACAAGCTGGTATATAATAGGGAGGAGTGTGGGTGGCCAAGCAGCAAGATGTCTGTGTGTGAGTAAATAACAAGTAGCTATGGTCCCAGCAAGTGCTTGAGAATACTGCTATAGCTCCCGGGGCTCTGAAGGATCACTGATATGGGCACTTGCTGTGCACTGATAACAATTTCCTGCCTCTGTATCCACTGTCAGAAAGAAACTGCACCCCCCCCCGCCCCCCCCCCCCTGCCCCCCCAAGGCCTCTGTGAATAGTACTGAAGCCCAGGAGAGGGCTCACACTCTCCCAGGCTGCAATGCCAGGCTGAACAGTGAGGTTTTTCCTGTCAGTCACTTAATTAAGACTTGTCTATATGAACTGGCAGGTGCAGCTTGCTGCGTGTTCCTATCCCGCTGCTTCCGGAATGGAAATACACAGTAGTCTTATAGACTGCATTTGTTTCTGCTCTAAAGTATTTGAACAATTTATAGGTACACTTGTTTGTTTCTTTGATTAGGTTTTATTTCCTTCTTTGTACTTATTTCAAAGAGGGTATTGTTGCAAAAAGCTCCAAGGACAGTCTGTGCTGTTTTCCCCATTCCATAATTTTCTTCTTACAATTTTTCTTCAAAGAACAAACAATACAGCATTCAGTGCATTGAAAGTGCAGTTTGCTAATGGAAACGTTGCCTGGAGCTGCTTCCAAACCATTCTCCTAACCAGCCCCAAGCAGTAAGCAGTCTCAGATAGGCATGGGGGACAGATTCATCCATGGGAGTCCTCTGGCATCACCATGTCCTGGCAAGCAGTTTTGACATTTTTGAGCATCAGCTGGATCAAAGTGTTGACTTTTTGCCTAATGCAGTGTTTCAGAACTGTCAATGAGTCCTTACACAGAACTGCCCTGTTTCTGACGCTGGGATAGCTCAAGACACTCTGTCTTCTCTTCCCTCCCCCCCCCCC